TGAGCAATAGAGTAATCGGCATGGAGACATGATAGTTAAAAGAGGAGGAAAAGGTGCGTCGGATAATGCTTAAAACGTTTCCCTGTCTTTGTTCCACGTATTTTTATGATAGGTTGAAAAAACGGACAAAACTTTCGGGACCACCTAATATTAAAAATTTCGGGCAGAAAGACTGGCATTTAGCTCTTGTACGTGAAATTCGATTTGCATACATTAAATATACGACGAAGAGCCGATAATTCTGAGGTTATCTGAATCGTTGAGGTCAAGAATTAGGCATTTTCGACTTTGCAGATACAGTATTTTTGTGCTACCAACAACGATTGCACGTAAACAGTAGCAATGCGCGCTCCATGGCTATTTTTAAGCGCAAATCGCAAGCAGAGTTGTTACATTGCTTACTTAGATCTTAGATGGCCCGTCTTCACGTGGCGTGCGGACCCAGCACAAAAGTTTCTATTTGTCCCTGTCCTTCGCTTTAGACATTCACGATCTTCTTGGTTGCCGTCGGTGGTTGCGTCCACGAGTTTCAGGTGCGATAATCGTATCACTGATTTCTCAGCTGGTCCATCCGTTCCACAAACACGTCTGCCCATCTCGTTGGTGGCCTTCCTCGGGGACGTTTGGCTTCGCGAGGAATCCACTCAGATGTTCTTAGTGTCCATCTGTCGTCTGCTCTTCTCATAATGTGACCGGCTCATCGATGCTTCGCATTCGCCACGTATTCCGCTGGGTCACGAAGACAGGACATTTTTTCAGATCCGTACTGCGAAGTCCGACGAGATGTTGTTTGTGTGGGCTCATCTTCAGTAGACTGCGCTCGAGCGCTCGATGGGTGGTCCTTAAAGCTTTCGACGTGGCTACGGTGTCGGCGCAAGTCTCAGCTGCGTAGCAGAGCGCTGGGAGAACGGTTGAGTCGAAGAGGTGGGCACGAAGTTCCGGGTCCGTCAGTTGGTCGGTGGCTTCCTTCAGAGGCCCGAAGGCGGCCCAAGCTGCTCTTCTTCTGCTGTTAAGTTCTTCCCTCAAGTCGTTCTCCATGTTCATCGAATGTCCGAGATACACGTAAGAAGACGTCTCCATGATAGGGGTGCCTTCCAATTCTATTTCTGCATCTTCGCAAAGGGCATTCTTTGTGAATTGAGTCTTCTTCTGATTTATTCGCAGTCTCATCTTCTTCCCTACTTCGTCTAGTTCCTTCAGCATCGTCTTTGCTTCAGTACTGAGTACTGTCAGTACTTCAGTACTCGAAAAGAAAACGATGTCCTCCGCAAAACGAACGTTTGACATGATCTTCCAGCAATCGCCATGCCGGACCCCCTTTCCAGTTGGGATGGTTAGGGGGCGATGGAGCAGCTGCATCGTCGTTGTACAGTCCTTAAAGCAGTCGGCTAACGTCCTCGCGTAAGCTGAGTACACTACCTAATCAACTAGTGCAGACAGGATGGCTTTGGTTTCGACGCTGTCAAAGGCTTTCTCGTAGTAGGTTGGGACGAGAGGCAGTCGGTATATCCGGCAGAGTTCTTTGAGTCCATGCAGCTGAATCCTTTGCGAAATCCAGCTTGTTCTTGGGGTTGGGCTTCATCCAGTGTCCTAGATATGCGTGCGAGGATAATCCTCGTGAAAAAATTGTAGAGCACACTCAGCAGGCATTTTGGATGGTAGTTCCGAAGATCCTCCCGTTCACCCTTCTCGAAAGAAGGACGGTTCTTGACGTTCTCCACTGATCGGGAATCCTCTCCTTCTTAAGGTAAGATGTCAGGTGCGACGCGAGAATCTCGTGTAGACGTTGCCCTCCGGCTCGCAGAAATTTGACGGAAAGATAGTCTGGTCCTGGAGCCGTGGACGTCTCATGGTCTGAATCGCCGTGCGCACTTCAGCAGGTAGAATTCATGGTGATACTTCTCCAGTGGGAACAACGGGCACCGGCAGGGGTGTTGATAAGCGGAAGAGATTGGTGTAGAAGTTCTTCGCGATAGATTCCATCTAGAATTCGGAGACTCGTGTTCGTTCAATAGTGCAGCCAGGGGTACGTGATCAGGGACCGGCACAGATCGTCTTGAAGTAGGCTGGACTTCGTTTTTGGAGCAAAAATCAAAGAAGATATCTTTTCGACGAGTCGGGGCCGAGCAACAAGTAAGCGCCATTTAGTCGAACACAAGCTTTTCGGACAGGTTATCACACGACTGACATGCTCTATCGTGTATGGCGAAAAGTGCGCGCGATTTGAAAGCAAGGCCAAAATAAACAAAGTGCTTGTTTACAGCGCACGCAGAATCATATGACACCAAAATTGAACTGCATGTGTAGAAAATTATTTGCGGGATTATGTAAAAAGATTTGAAAACTTATGTGAAGTAATAACTTTTCCAAAATTAGATCGTCTCCAGACGGCCACTATTTTCGCCACTTCACATAACTTTCGGATCCTTTTAGCATGGACGGATTCCCGGTCAAAAATCTATCCCTAAGCATAAAGATATTTTCATACATTGCCCTTCCTTTGTTCTTTGCCTTAATTTCTCCATAAATCGCATTGTTGAATATCGCGCTCCAATGCCAAACTCTTGTACATGCGTAGTATTCAGCTCTAAATTGGATTTTCGCTCCTATCTCACGTTTTTTCTTTCAGACTAGTAAATCTTTCTTGTTTTCATCTTCTCCTGTAGGTAGGTTAGGGACTTCGCAAAACTTCCGAAAGTCAGGAGGACTTCGTTTTCAGAAACCTTAGAACCGACTCGTGCCGGGCCCTGTACGTGCGATTCCAAAGTCTACCGGCGATGTTCCTTCTTCATGAAGATAGAATTTCCATGGAAAAGTCGCGCGGCGGAGAGAAGCCCAACGAGACGGTTGTCGTTTTCGTTCCGGAGCCCATACCCAAACTTCCCGATCCTATATTCATCTTCTAGTGGCATCCTGATCTTCGCGTTGAAGTCGCCCACTACGGACCTGTAGAAGGACTTGTAGACTTTCGTTGCGGACGACCTGCTCCACGTCTTCGTAGAAAGCATTTAGTTTTGAGTCGTCACCTGCTGATGTTGGTGAGTAGCAGTTGATGATGGTGATGGTCTTCTGACGTGGAAGTGTAATCGTAGGATGGCTAGTCAAGGTGACGAGATGGACGACAAAGCCAACCTCTCCAACGTTTCGTGATAGAACCTTTTCACCACGGATGTTGAGGGTCCCATCACTCATCCATCGCACGTCCTTCTTCCTGGACTTCGTTTCCTGCAGAGCGATGATGTGGTAATTGATGTGCCCTGCAGAGTCGAGAAGAGCGTCGGCGCTTCTGGAGACTGTCTTGGTGTTGTAGGTGCAGAGCATGAGGCAGTCTCCATGGCGGGTCGTCCGGATAGACCTATCGTTTTTGTCCAATCCGAAAGGCGCCCTGTACCCTGACATCCTTCTTGCTACCACCCGGCTCCGTAGACGGAATACGATGTGCAGGGATTATTTCTCTTCTTTTTGTTGATCGAGTAATAAAAGTGTTTCCCCTACAAGAGCAGACTTACTAGGCCAACACTTGACTCCACGGGGATCGCTGACTCGGGTGTGGAGCGGGGAGGACCGCCTAGCGATGGGAAAATCAGACGGCATGGATTTCTGGCCGGCTCTTAGGGCCGCATGCACTATTACTGCGAAGAGGGGATCGCAGCTTAAAAGAAAGCTCAATATTTCGAAACTCCAGATACCTGGATTTCACGTTGTGTATCTATCCGTAAGTATTTACTATCCTTCACTATGAACATGTTGAAGAGGAGCGAGAAGCTGTACGAACCGCATTTTCCAGCTTTTGTATGATCCCTGATGATCCCCGGCGCTTTTCTTTAAAGTCATTTTTCTTTCTCCGAAGTTAACAAATAACCTCCAAAGTTGTGCAGATTATCTAACCCGACAGTGCTAAGCATGTTGCTGATAAGAACAAATGGTGTTTTGAAGTCATGAAATTTTCGATGATCCATAGGTCGAAATTTGAGGTTTAGCGAAAAATTCGACTTTCTAAAAACTCATTTGTTCTTATCAGCAACATGCTTAGCACTGTCGGGTTAGATAATTTGCACAACTTTGGAGGTTATTTGTTAACTTCGGAGAAAGAAAAATGACTTTAAAGAAAAGCGCCGGATATCATCAGGGATCATACAAAAGCTGGAAAGTGCGGTTCGTGCAGCTTCTCGCTCCTCTTCAACATGGTCATAGTGAAGGGTAGTAGGAATACTTACGGATAAGTACACAACCTGAAATCCAGGTATCTAGAGTTTCGAAATATAAAGCTTTCTTTTAAGCTGCGATCCCCTCTCCAGCGCGGAGGTTAGTGCATACGGCCCTTAGCTAGGCATCCGGCCGAAACCGGAAACGTCGAACTCCTTCGCAGTCTGGGAAGCCCTACCAGAGTATACACCGGCTGTGCATCGCAGTTCGACCCCAGTGTCACCCACGCCACGTTGAAGCGGCCGGCGTGAGGGGTTGTTACATTCATAAGCATGAAAGCGCGCGAAGAAGCGCTTTGCGCGTGAAGCTGTCACCATCGGTATTATACTAGCTGTTAAATCAGTACAGAGGAGTGGCATACGGGGGGCGGGGGAGGGAGCCCTTCTCCCGAGAACGGGTCGCGAAGTTTTTGAAAGTTACTTACATGAGTTATGAAAGTGTGCAAGTGACTTGTTTACACTTGTAAGTAATTAAAGTAATTTTTAAAAATTTTTAGAAATTCAATTTAGCCTTATAAGAGATTTTTTGGGTGCGTGGCTAACGCCACCACCTTCATCAGAAGAATTTTTGTCGCGTTCCCCTACCCCCCTCCCCACCCCCCGAACGGAAATCCTGGATGCACCACTGGTACAGAGTTTATTGTTCTATCAAGCACAGGTGCAGGTACAAGCCGACTTTGCTCTATAGTCGAAGAAGCTAGTGTATGTATCATATTTTGCGTGATTGATCGCTACAAGTGCCTCTCCTCACCGGTCTACGCTGCTATCAACATACCATTGCCGAAGGGTAGGGGTTTAGTTGGCCCATGGCTGGATCAGACGACCTTGATTCCAGTAGTCAGATGCAACTCCTGGCTCCACTACGGCGCTCGAACTCCATCCGAATTTTACCTGCGATGACTCCCACAATGTCCCATAAGCCCTGGACGGAGCTCACGCGACGAAGTCGCGCGATCTCCAGTCGCGACGACTTGCACGAAAATGGCGACTGAGACGCGGCGACTGAGTTTAGTCGCCGGAGGCGTGCATACCTCCAACGCGATTTCATGCAATTGCACAACACTTTACACATTGCACGTACTTTAATTCATACTAAAAATCGGTACTCTCGTTGACTTTACTACATCACTGTCATTCAAAAAGGTGTGACAGCAGACAAAGAAAGTTTGAAAGTTTATCACATAGCATCGACTTGACAACGATCACAACGTTATGCACCCAAATGATCAACAGGAGAAGCCAGCGACATCGTGGTTCTGGAAAAAATGGCTCATAATCAAATGGCTGTTGGGAATCATCAATTAGGAATAGGAAACAAGTACCAGCAAGGCCACCAGTGGCTTTGGACATTCCGAAAGAACCGTCGCGAGGCAAAACGATGTTTTCAGCTCTAGAAACGTCATCCATGTGTTGCACATGATAGACGGAAATACTGCTGCTACCTCATCAAAGCTCTATCTCGTAGTTTGCTGCATACCGTCAACGTAGACTGTGAGCCCATTCTTTGAGTATTCGATGCGCAATCGAACAGGGTAGGGCTTGTAACGGATCTTTTTGGCAGCCTAGGATGTATGAGATGTAGGAAAATGTAGATGAAAAACAGGAAAAAATGCAAAATGAGAACCAACTCCTTCGTCAAACATGCAAGGATAGGCATAAATTGGCATTTGCAACGGCATTTGCAACATTTCATTCAAAAACACCCATAATTCGAGAAAAAACAGCAACTTACAACAGTAACATTGAAAATGCAGTTCAGGATAGGCGTCGGTCGCCACGTCGCTCGCCGCAAACGAGCGACGCGACATCGCGCCGATTCGGCAAAATCGCGACGATATCGCCAGGTGAGCTATGAACGCCGAAGGTGTGGCGCGATCCGTCGCACCGCGCAGCCATCACAAACGCGTCGGGACCCACACACTAAAGAGCGTGGCGTGGAACACCTAATGATAGGATGCGACGCGACAAAGTCGCATGAGCTCTACCCAGGGCATAGAGATTACGACCAAGTTTGTCATACTCGGAACCATCTTACGATATATCATAGCGCAGCATACTAGAAAATCATCTCTTTGAGTGCAATACAAATCCCTTTCTAACCTGCACTTCATGCAAGCCGAGTTTGGCGTGATGTGAAAAGAGGGCCTAAAAATAAGAAATTCAATCCATGCAGGAACTCGATGTATGTTGTGAATGAAAAGACCAACATTTCCATAACTGAATGTTTGCTCGACGATCTCAGGCTATTGCTGTGACTTTGTGGTCCGTTTATGAGACCAGCTGCTCAAAAACTGAGGGTATCAAGGAGCACAGTATTTACAAACCAGAATGCAATTTCAGGGGACCTGATACGATGCTATCAAAAAAGAGCTTTAGAGCTATTGCTCAAAACCAGACTTGGGTTTCCTTAAATGCTTGACACTTACATTGGTGTCTTTTAGTCACCCTGTGCACGGCCAGTTTTCCAGTCTAAAGTGAACCGTGAGTTAACCGATGCCTTGACTATACAGGCTTTCGTGGTCCGTCATCGTTCCTGATTCCTTTTATTCGTCTTCTTTCTGCTATTTCTGCATGTACATTTTTCGATGTCATCTCATATCTTTACTCTGCTGTAAGATCTATGGTATCCTATTGTTTTGTAATACAAGATTCGGGAAAATGGAATGTCGTTTTTCATGGTCAGGGACAAGGCGAACATCAAACCAAGAAGTGGCAGCAAAGCAGAGCACTCAGAAAATAACCTCTACTCATTTCTGTCAATCGCAGTACACGAGAGATCGAAATCGGAACTAAGGGGGGTATTCAATGTTCTCTCAATAAATTTTTCCGCTGTATATTCCTGGCTAGAAATGGGGAAGAAGAATTGTGAAACCAGCAAATTCGATTCCACGTTTTACATACGTGGTTATATACCACAAATATTTGGAAGTACAACCATGAAAATTGCACCTCTATATGTGCTCTATTACTCCAGAAACGACAGATTCATCACAAGAAAACCAAATTGTGGCAATTCCGTATATCAAACCCGTTCTGTTTCTCGTACTCTAGCTTTGGAGAAAATTAAGCAAGTATATACATTCATGTGTAATAGTGTGGGTTCAGTATATGGTGCATAGTAGTTTGAGAAAAAATTGTAGGCGGAGCCGATTCTAAGGTATTGAATATTTATTGATTCATTCCAAAGATTTCGTGGAGTGCGAGCGGATTGCTAACAATCGTCTTGTAGGGTTGATCTGCTCTACCAAACAGTGCTCTGCTTGCATAATTTAGCGTTTTTCTGCTTCATTTCTTTTCTTTTCAACCTGATACATCCGTTTTTCTCAATTTGTTCTTACTTGGACGTAGGGTAATGACGCACTACGCCTTCTGTGTTGATATTTCTTGGACTTCAGCTTTGATTTGCATTTTTGCAGAAGAGTGGTAATTTAGGTGATATGTCCACTTGTCCATCTTCCATCTGGGTATACCTTGTCTCCATGCCGTCTTCAACGGCTGATAACTGTTGGTAATAAAGAAGCGATCTGGAGACGCTCATAGGGCATAAAATCTGTTCGGTTTCTCCTCGTAAAAATGTTAACCTTCTTGTAGGTATCACAGTTATTTTGAAGCAGTTGGAACAGTTTTTTTTTCTTACTTCCAAATGGTTACGACTTTCGCCTCTCTCGTCAGCTATTGATGCTACAAAGTAGTGCATGTTCCAGAAAGGAACTTAGTATTTTTTCAAATCTGCACTTGTATTGTATAGTCAATAAGGGAAGGATGCTTGCTCGAAGCGGCTTTTAAGATTCTGCCTTCCTTATCTGCGGAGCGTTTCTGGACGAGAATTTGTGAGCGTTTATCAGCAAAAAACTGAATGCGCCACCCTATTCTTCCCAGACCTCAAATGCAGCTGATGATTGTCAGGAAACTTTGTGCACTACATACTTTTAGATAAAGCTTAGCCTCATCCACCCTGCCTTAGTTGAGTTAGAAAAATTTCAACGACTGATTTTATCCTAGTTGCTCATTCAATTTTTTGCACTTGCAAACCCTCATATCTCCTCTCTCAGACACGCTCCGCACATAAGAAAGGCAGATTTGAAATTAGCGTTTCAAGCCTTCCGAGAAGGTATGCGTGCCATCTATCAACCGTACCAAAAGGCCACTTCGACCAAACAATCTTCCCCTGTAAGAAGTCGTAGCAATAATCTTATACTACGATGTTCGAGCGAGAGATTAGACCCTACAAATCACATGCACTTTTAGCTGCGATAACCAGGGACAGAAAATGAGCTGGCAGTTCTGTAAACATTCAGTTATTGGGTAATTTGGGGTGCAGGGCAATGTGGTCGACGGCGATTGTGGGACGCAGCTGCTACGACGTCCGAAAAGGCTAAACAAATTGCAGAAATTTGTTAGGCAGCTAAAGTGGTTCTGCTCTTCATTTTACTATTTACCCCGAAAGCACAACGTAGTACGAAATCTGCTGAGCCTCCAATCGTAGGAATCTTATCGACCCATATGATTATGTTACAAAAAACACTAGCGAGATTTCGACATAATTCTCCTGCAGAGAATATAGTCAGAGGACTTTCACTGCTTGTGACACAGATTGATAAACCTCTTTGATTGCAATATTTATGATAACCTCTTTGTTGTGTCTGCAGCCATCTGTCCTTGTAATACCTTACGCATTTTTCAATAGCCTTTGAGAATGGACCGAAGCCATTTAAGATTGGAAACACTAGAGCGAATTTTTTTGTGAATATGAGGTTTACTCAAACACTACCAGATCATGTGTGTACTTTCCATCGTCCTTTATGATTTTGTGGGCAAGAAAAGACCGACCAGAACTTTTGTTATGGTTGAAAACAAATTCGTTTGCGATGCGAATACTATGAAAATATGGATAACTGTTGTTATTCTACCGAAAAAATTTTTGTAGGGCAATCTCTTACCTCTCCTTTTTGTGTCAATTATTCAACATTTTCTATAGGTGATAAACGATTAAGACTTCAAATACTAAACTCCTGAAGAATCATTTGACTTTCTTAGTATCGTTCATACTGTAGTGAGTGCAAAGACGACTAATCGAGGACTTATAAGCTTTAGCTACGTGGCGAACCATAAAGTGATGGTGTGCAGTTTGCATTTATCACGGGAATTAATGTAAGCGCGAAAATCAGTTTTGGACAGTCTAGACTGCTTGAATTTGACGATCTAGACCCAGAATAGTCGGGAATACGAAAATCATATGCGTGCGTATCAGTTGTACATTGCATCCAACATCGGTCGCTTTTTGGAGCATATCCCACTTGCCTGCTCCATTTCGTCATCAAAAATCACTTTATTAAAGCCATCTGATTATCCCTCAAATTACTCTTTTTAATATACCGTACATTCATACAGAGATATGAATCTACAAACCTTCAAAAACTCCAAAACTCCTTTTTAGCCAACCTATACTATATGATCCAGGATCTTGAGCATCAGTAGCTTTCCTAGTTATGCTGAAACATGTCCTTTACGTCTGCATGGAGTGCTGGGCTAAAATGTGCTGTATTTATTTATATCCACTTATTTACATGCCCTCTATGCGGTTCTCCTCTTACAGAAGTGGACAGGGCGAACACAGTGCAAACCACTCGTCCGAATTTGATCATGAACTACTGAGTGTTTCTAGACGAGTATGTGTTTATGAGTTTGAAAATGATGCTCTTATACCCAGCCAAGTCCTCTCCGACCGTTAGAGTGATGCGCCCCAAACAATTTCAGATTTAACTACTGATGCTGCGCACCCGTATCAGAAGTAGACAAGCCAAGCAAACGTCAAAACCGTATCACGATCATACTTTATTGCATCCATCAACCTCTTCACTTATTTACGTTATTAACGCAAACAAATTGTATAGTTAGTATCGCATCATCATGTAAGAGATTCATTGCAACCAAAATGATGAAAGGACGCTTTCGTCTTTCCGGTTGCAACGATTGCATGCAACATTTTTTATTTGTGACACACGACATCCGCATTCCTTTGCCTCGTTCGAAACAGTGTGACGCAGAAGAAGGGAAGTAGCTTGTGCCAGACCAAGATTGTAGCCTTGCATAAGAACATCTACTATCTCTTGACAAACTAGAAGCAGTTGAAAAAGCTTACGCATTTTTCGCAAAGGAACATTCGATTATTGTCAGTTTGCGAACCTGTTGAAGCTCTAATCTTCTTAGCTCATTTGTACCCCATTTTTGAGCTATAGAGTTTGCCAAACCTGATTTGTAAACAACACCCGAAGAAAAATAATCGTGGCAATCACAAAGAGCATCTTTTTCAAAAATTCTGAAAAATTTCCAAGTTTTCAATATCTTTGGGAGACTTTGCGTTGCTTAGTTTTGGAGAAGGATAGCTCGGTAAAGTGTAAATGAAATTTAGTCAAAACTTGAAATAAGTTTCTCTGCAAACGAAGGGTCAGATGCCGTGGCTCAATTTCTTCTCTATTCCTTCATTTTGCTGTTTGATAGCCTGATGTACTTTATAATGCATTTTTATTCTGTAGAATAATTGATGGGCTGGAAGGAGGTTTGCATGATGGTGAAGTCGCTTTGCGTTAAACTTGCGATCAAGAAGAAGGTTCACAAAAAAAAATTGTGTTTTCATTAGAAATACATCCGTTGTGGCCAAGATCAGTGTTTTTGTATATGGACTTTACATCCTATGGAATTAGGGTGGCATAGGAATAACATGTTGCCGCGTAACTCACATGATTAATCGCCTTAATCATACTAAGCTAGCTGAAAAGACTTGATTGTTTTGTAGAGTTAATATTATCTAAGAATCACCCAGCATTGAGTATTACATATCCGCGTCACTACCGTCCCTCTTCCATGTATACAGCTATGGATGAATGAGAGCGACGATGCCCAGCAGTGCAACACGGGATTATGTAAGTGATCCCCGAGGGTTTGCAGTTTGCAGTAGAGGACGGGCAAGGCGACGATCATTCGTCAATCCTTTCCATCTCCGTCCATCATAACGGCCTCCTCGAACTGCACTCTTGCATGCTTGTTTATCTTTTCAGATGATCTCGAATAATCCAGTGATGGTGTAGTTCGGAGTGATGTTACGTCTTCATGGACAAGCTTTAAGGTCTTGAGTACTTTTGGTAAACTGTATACTTTGAACGCGCTCAATTTGAAGTAGCAAGATTCTGGTTTCCAAAACTCCGCTTTTATAATTTTGTAAACTCTAGAAGTTCCTGATGATTTCTTGCAATATTCTTTGACATTCAGTACTCGATAGCATTCCTTTCTGCATCCTATTAAAATGTCGAAGGCATCTATGTCATCAAATTGAATTTTTATTATTGCACTTCTGAGGACTATCACGCGAATAATTTAGTGAGCCTGCATTTAAGTGCATTTTGCTGCCGAAGCTATTGGAATTCACTGCCTCGTTCAGCCGATTGCATTTTTAGCGCTTTCTTCCATGAACACTACCCCCTCATTTGCAGCCTTTATTTATAGTATCTTGACCTTCCAAAATATGTAATCGCAATTGCTGAAGCTTTATGAATTCACCTGAAAGCATAATATTTCCAAAATTGCAAAACTTCATTCGATGTTACAGAGCAATCCTCAAAATATTCAAACCTCTACTAACGATAATTTTCTAGTAGATTCCCCTCTGCAATTTGTCTTTTTGTGTCAGCAAATGAATTATGAGGACTGATTTCCATGTCGACCATTGTATTCATATCCTCATTCTATGTTTCTTACATTCTCATTGTTTGGCGCCTTCGCGGTGTCGCCACGCTGACCAACGTTGTCAGCATTTTGCAGTGGAAGAGAGCGAAGCTGCAATTCTAAGCAAGTTTCTGGAGGTTCGTCAGCGCAGTTTCTCCAGTCTAACTCCTTAGCACAGTGCACTTGTTTTAATGCGAATAAAAAAGACCTGCACAGAAAGCTTTGTGGGGGAAACAAGTGGCGAACGAGAGAGTGCAGCCACAATTATGTGGGAGCAGAACACGATGAAGTTAGCTGTCGCAAAGCCTCTCATCAAGGCAACAAATCGATGCGTTAGACCGAAGCGGCGGGGCCCACGGAGGGCAGAGTGGCCGCCTCGGATACTTGGTGACGACCAGCTTCATGTTTTACGTCAATTTGCACGTAAATGCACAAATACACACACTACTCCGACGAGCACATAGATGCGAATGAGTTCCGCATCAGAAGAGCGCGGATCACTGGCCGTGGGCCATGGGCCATCGCAAGGCGATACAACACTGACATTCACTAGTAGCTTGCTCCATAGTTTGCTCAAGCGATAGTAAATCCCGTTACCATTCCTGGTGAGCTCGTAGGGCTTACCCCTGAGGTGCTTCGTGCTTCATCATCTCACTGCCGCATTCCTTCACTGCACTCCCATGTTCGATAAGCCAATCTGCAGCTTATAGTCTGCCTTTCCCGTAGTAAATAAGTCATACTTTTGTTAGCTGCTGTTAAGAGAGTGTAATGTACCAAACCTTTTCTATTGAGCAGTCTCAATCGTCTAAGAAGGTCTGCAGGTTTCTCTGACTTTTATCCCTTTTTTGATTTTTAAACTGACATTTGCCGGGTGAGACCTATAAACAGTCAGCAGAGAATGCATTTCATTCATATCGTGGTTCACGGAACTGTTTTGAATTCTCTTAGTTTAAGGCGCATTTTGAGGTTTACGATGTTTCTATTTCATATCCATCGCCGACTCACGAAAGAATTACTCAAATATTAAATCCGCATTTTTGACAATTTCGTGCATTTATTACAGCGATTGAAGAAGATAAAATCCAAACTTAGTACCATAGATGTCGTAAAAACAATGGTGTAGTGTGTAAATGCGGGATTCAGTTTTTAAGCTCATGGTTATGGCTTTGATAGCATAAACGAATATAGAAACGAATGCAAAAAAATTGAGACTTCGCTGTTCTTAATCTTCATAAGGTTCTTCCCTATAAAACGCCTCTTATTGCAACGCTTGCTCGGCAATGTCAATAGATAGCTGTCAAACAGTCGATCTTGTTTGCTTATCATCACTCGGCACGTTGCTCTTCCAGTATGGAGATTTTTCGATTCGTTCTATTTGCCGTTCATAAACTGGATTCATAGGTCCCAATAAAGGCTTGCAACGAGATCGAAAGAGACTCCTTCCAACTTGTCTATAAAATTGAATCAAGTTCTGCTGTTTTTCGCATGAAGATGTTCGGAAATTGCCAATGTACTTACGCACATTTACTCAAAAAATGTCCTTGACTTTTTATCACTAATCAACTGCCATTTATTGCTCAGCGAAAATGGTAGAGTTTCGAATCTACCAATATTTCCTTGATTTCTTGAAGATCAACACACCTGGTGAAGTGGAGCTTGCGAAAAAGTTTTGGAAAGAGTAGTAATATTTGCGAACTTTTTTGAATGAAGAATCACAATAGCATCCTTTTATGCGCCTACTGCAACGCTCTTCTCGATTCTATCAGCATGATACCCTCCCGCAGACGAGACGTTTATGTACTTTCTCGCCCTACCCCCGTTTGCAAAAAAAAATCAAGCGTTGCCCAGCGCTTCGTCCAGCCATGAGCACATTTTCTCCATGCGTTGCCCATCAATACTCACGCACCTAAATGCGTCCCACATGACCATACGTATGAACGTGGGAACACTGTGGAGTGACTAGATGTACAGTGACACCCATTGAGGGAATATGACTGCATTCGATATCAATCATGACATATATACGATCCATTGTGATCCGAATGCAAAGCCGCTCGAGGCTCAACAGGTTGGGCGTTCAACTGGCCTCGCTCGAACTTGTATTCCGTTCTGCGTAACTCTTCGGCGACATGGCTCCAGCCCCAGTGCAAAAGTACAGCAACCAATTATGGGCGCATAGCCTGGATCTGAAGATTTACTCGCTTTTTACATGGCACATGTCGATTTCTGTCCTTTCTTTGTTCATTTGCAAGCGCAAGCACTGTGTACATATCCGTTCTTCATCGCATCGCTATTCATTTGGTTTAAAATAATATATACATTCACAGCGTTGTCATTTACTGGACCTTTCCTCGTGATAATTTCGACTTCACGTTTATAATATCACTTATAACCCTTCACAAACCCACGTATCTGCGTTTTTTCTCCTTTGCAATTACTCGCAGATAATTGACTTGTACTTCTGCACATTCTCTATTATTTGTGATTGCTCAGTGGCATCTAGTTATGCACATATCTATAAAGTGTGGCATGGTCGAACTGGTAGCAATAATTGTGAGCTATATTTTGGCAATTTTGTCTCTGCCTGTATTGGCAGACTTTTCATCCAAACAAAATGCTCCACATTCTCACAAAAACGCTACTTTCTCACTCTCCTTCCAATGACTCAGTCCTAAATGCGGTTTTTTGTAAGAATGGCAAGCAGCCAGGTTACGTAAATGTCGCGTGAATAAGCAAAACGTCAGCAGCGTAAGCCCCGAAAACAAAGCGGCATCTTCAAAGTCCTTGAAAATAGTCACATTTCATGTCGAACGAATAGAACGACAGAGATCGATGCACTGTAGCCGTCTTCGGCCATTTGCATATTACGCGCTTCAACATCCGAAGCCTTCGAATGTCGACCACCCACGTTGTCCATTCGATCTGATTATTTTTGAATCAAAACTGGTGGTTTTTCGCCGTCGCGGCACTTTACTCATAGCCTACAAAAAATTCTCTACGTGTTTGCTGACTTTCTCGCATTTTTTCGTTCAGTACTTACTTCTTTGTTCCTGTATTTCTCTCAAAAGTGTGTAGTCTTCCTTTCTGCTTGCATGACTACTGGTGAACATGTCATGCACTAGCGGTTGAGCGGGTATAAACTGATGAATGTGGTGCAGGTGCTAGATATGGGTGGCGGCGACGAGGGCGGCCAGTTGTTCGTCAGCGATGGAACATCGAAGAGAATACGCTACGCACTTTTGCCTCTACCTGCGCTCGCGCGTAACCTTCACGAGGTACACATATGCCTACAACCTTTCGCAGGTACTACTTTCAAATCCATAGAACACGAGCACGCTTATTACAGCATGTATCCTACTCTTTTGTGCGGACATCGCTGTCGTATGCGTTGTCCTGTTTATCCAGCTTTTCCTACTAGACAAATAAGCGGAATAAGGTCAATGGAATGTCTTTTTATACTTCACCGCCCTCAACCTTTTGCAGAATTTCTAATGATCGCCGTCTCAAAAAGAGTATTCTGGGAACACAGGCTCACCTAGGATGGCAATTCGCGTTTCGATTGGAAACAAATTAATTTTATATCACGGCCTGTTTCTGCTCCATACAACGATGCCCCCCTGCCATGTAACCGCGAATCGCTGTAAATGCAAATGTATTCGTACATTCCTTACGGCTTCTCATCACCTTTCAATTTTGTGCGTGTTGCTCCGTCAGTTTTGCTTGCCTTTTTGGAGAGATCTTCCACTGCTCCCACCTGTCTAGCTCCACTTTTCCATACTTATCCGCTCTCTCTTACTCACTCTGTCTCTTAGCAATGCCACTGATTAGTCCTTTTATGTATTGCATGTTAGCGAACGTCCGGCAGCTTCAAGAGAAGAGGTCAGACATGATGTGCAGGCGACCTCGCCCTTCAGTTTTGCATTAGTGAAAATCGCGGGCCGTCGCCAGCCCAGCCAGCACACGCTCTTCGCGGGCTCTTTCATCAAAACGGATTTCTCACCGTCGTTTCGCTCAATTCGTCATACGCTTACGTTGTGTACGGTTGGCACAGCTCTATGATGACGACGCTGAATGTCTACCGAAGTGAGGTGGTGCCCTTCTTGAGCTCGACACCTTCTACTCGCGTTAGCCAGATTTTGGTTTCGCACCTACCCCAAATCGATCACTTCTTTTTTGGGGACTTCCCGCAAACGCGTGAGGTTGAGTGAGCACCAACTTGCGCACCTCTTCACTCCAAAACATCGTTCAGCTTTATATAGCCCCCCACACTGCAGCAATGTTCCTTTGCCAGACTGCTTATTTTGCGCTTGCGCTAATTGCCCTTTCCAAGGCTACGCAATCTGTTCGACAAACATGTCGCGAACAGATTTCTTGCGTACTGCTGATTGTTTCTTCAACACGCCACACATGAGTTGACAAGATCACTGATCTACCATTGATCAATCACTGGCTGTTCTTGATATGGGGCACTTCCGGTACATTGTTATACCGGCTTTTTTGAATTTTCCTCATTACTTGGTCTATAATAGAGCAAACTGCAAAGTTCAGCAATGTGGTTTTGATTACATTCAAAACTAATAGCATTCTCGTTCAGTGACCGTCATCACTGTTCTTGCCGTTGACTTCTCTAGTATATCTCATTTGCATATTTCTTATACTATATTATGAACAGGATGACAGCAAAGAGTGTCACTCTAAATGGGGAGCGAGAGAGGCCATTTCGTTTCGACCCGGATGATCCCGAATACATTAAAGACTTACAAAGACCAGCAGTCATAAAGGTTAGTGTCGTGCACGATTACATTGGCCTCAAATGACTATTTTTGTACCAATGATTTGTACAGGAATGAACTCTACGATTTTTGAACGATTTTTGATGTTATCGGGTGTTTCACTACCTTTGCTACCATCATTATCTCACTGCTATAAACAACTTTACCATGTACACTGCGTGAACAGAGATTCATTTTTCATAAATTTACGACCTCTGTAAACGAACTTGATACTTTCGCTCAACCTAGTTTGTTGCTATAGGAAGATCTCACCGAAATGGAGCGAAGGAAGCGTGTACAGCAACTGCTAGAGTCGAAAAGCTTTTGTAGAGAACTAGAAGAGGTATTTATTTGGTCTGCTTACTAATCTCTCAGAGTTTAGCTGTGATTAGCTCAACTAATCTAGGTGATTCGGCAAGAATCCGATAGCTGTCGCAGCGATCCCGAACATTTGAAGACTATCCAACGGCTCTCCGAACTAACGCTTCCCAATGGAGCTATGACATTTGCTAATTTGCACTCTGTTGGTGAGTGCTGATGTCGATTCTATCAAATTCAAGAATATATCGTTCTGCACAGTGTGTACTCCTAGTAATTTTATGCTCTCACTACCAACTGACTGTCACAGCTCCTCTCATTGTTCGATTTGTGGACACAGTAACAGATGCTAACAGAAATCATGCGCTATCATTCAATGCGTTACTTTAGTTCTCCCTCCCTTGATGTTTGATGACGCAAAAGCGAGCTGCTTTACTTTGAAACTACTTAGAGTGGGCACATCCTTCAGCTGCCGTCGAGTAGTCGATGTATCGAGGGGACTCTCGAGGATGCCTGCACTCATGCGTCATGTAAATTATTAAGCTGTAGATGTCGTTGCATTAGTGAGCACAGATTGCTCGATATAGGGCCCAGAGGCTATATCGGCGTTCCACCTCCTTGCTTCTAATGAAGGCCTGCTGTAATTATGCGATTTCAGCGTAAGGATTCGGGAATGTGTTGTTGAGCGTGACATCTCACCTAAGTGTTTGTGTAGAATACAAGATGAGGCTATTTAAACGAATGCTGCACCGAGGGGAGGGTCTCATACGATTCCTTGAGCAAACTCTTGCTCTGAAAAACCTTCTCAAAATGTGCACCGTTCTTGCATGTGCAGAGGAAAGAGGCAAGCATTACAAGAAAAGCTCACTATTATGCAGTCAGTGCCTCATACACTGTTTATGGAGTCGCTAGTCCACCACTGTTCTCTTTTTTTCCTCGGGGAAACATATCTGAATTTGAGGATATCCCAAACGTCAGCAACTGAGAGCTTCTTGTAATGTTGAACAGGCGCATCCGTTTTGTCAAAAATTAGAAAATAGCTGCTATTCTCACTGGATTTCACATGCCACGCACTTCCGCCTGTTAGACTTCTATGTCTTGCATCCTCCCAAACGCATACCAAATCAAATCTTCGCAATTTCAGCTGGATCTGCCATTCCAATAGCGGATCTGAAGGGTAATGACAACTACTCAAGGCAAGAAAAGCTGTTAAGAAACAAGCTCGCGTCACTCTATCGACTCGTTGATTTATTTCAGTGGTCTCAAGGGATTTACAATCACATCACGGTAGTTAATTACGCGTCAGTTTGACAAATTATGCTGCAGCGATAAAGTTTAGCTACGTCTACCCAATGATGATGATCATATCTTGGTGAATCCATTTGGTTTGCTGTACCACGAAATTACCGCTAGCAGCCTAGTCAAAGTGAATCTGCAGGGTGAAATTGTTGACCCTGGAACTACAAAGCTAGGAATAAATCAGGTGAGATTTACAGCAAACTATCACTTTATTAAATGTTTCTCATTCATGCGCTAAAGTTGCTGATTCCGCTAAGATAAATTGTAGTAGAGCATCTGTGTGACCAAAAATACGGAACTTTATTATCTGTTTATCTATTTTAAAATAATCTTACTCTGCACATGTTCAAGTTGGAAAATCTCGATCTACCATCTTCTCGAATTCCGCACCCGTTCAAAATAGAAGAAATCCTCCAAAGCACAGTGCATTTCTTATGCTTTAAAGCAATATGCGTAAGGACCGTACTATGAATGCGCGTTTTCGAGCAAAATCTTTTTTGAATATCTTTTTCGATTGCGTTGATAAACGCAATTTATGCTAGACGATTTTTTATTTTCCTTTCAAAATTGAGCCCAAATAGCCTAACAATAAGACGGCTCCATATATTTGAAATTTTGAATAGTATCAATCCCTTCATCGTTCTATTGACCCTTGCGCTTGCCCTAGAATGCCAGAGATTAGTGCGCAGGGCTCGGTCAACATATGTAGTTGTTACGAATATGTTAAGCACCGGAAAACGCATTGATATCTATCCTCCATTCTGAGGTGTCACATTTCAATGCTGGAATTCAAGGTGAAGTTTAGTGATGAGATAATTTTGTTGACCACGAAATCGAATCGACTTTTTGCTGTTTCCGACGTAAATTATTGCATTAGGTTGGTTGACACGATTATTAGTCCATGCCGAACAAGTGAAAAAGCAATCATTTTGTTTGAACATTTTGCTGATTCTTAACGAAAAGATAACTCCGGATCAAATTTTTTAAGGAGCATATCTGATACTTGCAAAGTTGAAGATTCGCGGTTCTTATCTTACGAAAAAGGCTGGAAATCTGCAACCCTTTTTGTACTTATGAAGTGCTACCGCAAAGGCCAAAGCAAAAAAGTCGTGTGAAGATAAAACTTCAATAACAAGTTTCATATCATCAAGAAGAGTTCTTCAAGAGCTTTCAACTGATTTACAAAAAGATTTTTTGTTTTGTTGGAATTACAAAATTATGAAGTTGAAAATTCAAGCTTAAAGAAAGCGGACTCATCCAAAAATAGGGAAGTTGACATTTGATCAAGTGCAGAGTTGTCTTTGCCGGCTCCAAAAGGCAGTTTCACTAGTAGAAATCATAAGTTCAAGCGCATCCCAGGTGTATCGCTATCTTTATCTGCGCACAGATCAGTGGTAGATGCTATCATGTTACAATGTTTGCGCTACTTAGACTCACGTCTGTTTGCCGATTATGAGCATGGCGATTTCTGCTATTTCATGGAGACAACTTTGTCGAAAAAATTCAGATAAAAACGACACACTTCCACAGTGTACTTCGTTTCAGAATGGTTTAATGCTGCATTCGGCAATACATTCAGCACGGTCGGATGTGCGATGTATTCTGCACATGCATACAGCGGTCGTATCGGCGGTTGCCAGCATGAAATGCGGTCTACTCCCTCTTTGCCAAGAAGCGATGGTCATCGGTCCAGTTGCGTACCACGACTATCAGGTTTGTTTATGCCACTTGCTTTTTCGCTATTTTCTCACTTTCTGATCTTGACATTTGTGTGATGATGCGCGGTTTATGGACACTTGGCGAGAAGGCATGTTTCTTGTCATACTCATGCAAGGTCAAAACCATTGGGGAACTGACATTGAGCAAAGATGATTAGAACATGCTTTTTTTACCATATTCCTGGTAATGTTCAAAATACGGTACTGTACTGTTCATCTAAAAACCATGATGAGATTTTGCCTTACACTTGAATGGAGTTAGTAATCAGCTTTCCAGAAAAGGCATTTGATTCGAAGTGGCCTTTCCCTTCGAGATCTATATAATCCAAGAGGGTACAAACGCTAATTACAGACCGAGCTTCCATATCTGCTAAACTGTTCACTGGTCGAAATTAGAGGCAACCTTCTGCTTTCAAACTGCATGGCCAAGCTTTCTGGACAACTTGAACTTGCAGTAAACGAGAATTTGAGAATTTGCTTCAGTTGCTGAATATTTGGTATGTATAAACATGAAAAGTAGTAGAGGGGGCTTTGAAGCCAATGTGCTACATTAGTCCTGCAAAAAGCAACCAATTAAGCCAATAAACCAAACGGATACCTGCATCGTCTAATGAACAGTTCAGCGGATATATAAAGCAGTTCTGAAATCAGTATTTTGAGTCGGTGATTATGGTCATCTTGGAAAGGCCATTTCGAGTCAAATTCTTCCCTTCTAAAACTTTATCACAAGAAAGGTAGATAAAGGGTAGTATTTGCCACACTGAAGATCGTTCTATGGGCGAATGTGATGTGGTTTGACGAAGGAGGAGAGAATTGACCTTTTTCTGCGAATATTTGCATGCGTGTAGTTGGGTGTGGGACGTCGTACTCCCCAAGGTATTGGGCAGTGTATCCCGCTTAGGGATAGGAATCTCATTTATCACAGTAGATGGGGCGGTCGTTACGTCGCTCACCCAATTTTGGCCTAGTCAATCCAGATTGGTGAAATTATATGCATTGTATATATGGAAGAGCGCTGTTTGTATGAGCGGAAGTTAGATGATGGCGAGACCCATGACAGACATGCTTAATTTATACAAGCAGACAAAGATTTCGTTTATTTTCTTTACCATGAAAATCCAAATCACACTTTGTAGCTAAATAAGTGTTCGGTGTCCCCATGTTCAATCAGTGTGAAAAGGCTAATCAAAATCCTGTTCATATTTTGCTAGATTGAAGATAACGTACAACTGTATATAGGTTACAACATAAGTGTAGCTGCGCTCAAGGGAAAAATCTTTTCGGAGATTTTTCCCACTTTCAAATCATGCGGAGTTTGTAGCCTTTGGATACATACATTTCACACATGTGCTAATTTCATAGGTTATTGCGGAGCATAAATCTATATATGTCTTCGTATCATCACTGATGCTCCAGAATTCATAAAATCTAAGATAAAAAAGGAGGAGAATTTCTAACAAATGAAGCAAAGGTTAGGTGTTGGAGACCAGTTCAAGGAATCGCCGTTATATAATGGTAATACATGAGTGTGAGATGATTAAAGATGTCAATGATTAAGTACATCCTGATATACTCCAAGTATGAGACTTCGCCAAAAAGTGCATATTTTTCTAGAGGAAAAGGGAAAAAGTGTAATGAGACTTACGATAGGACTAAAAATAGTTAACAAGTAGGCGAGCATTTTGGTCTTGTACAATTTGCGGTACCGCTCTAAACTTGTAATTGGCTCATATCACCACTGTGTTGCTTATTTTGGAAGCTTAGAGGCAAAATTTATTTGGCTTCCGGTATCCATACAGCTTCTTATCAGAGGCGTATCGAGGATTTCCGGGGAGGGGGTGGGAGGGAGTCAAAAAAATTTTTTGGGATTGTTCATACCTTGTCGCCGCGCGATTTCCCACTGCTGATTGTTTATAATCTTCCGTAGACCCATACTCTGTAAGCAAAATTCAGCATGTACGCATGAGCTTACAAAAGCTATGCGCATACGCACTTGAATTCCACACGCGGTAGACATCTGGTAGATTGCCAGATCACGCATCGCCGCGATTTTGGAGAAATCGCACGAGGTATACTCGAGGCCTTAACATGAAGCGCGGCATCAGCAACGCCGAAAATTTCTGAGATGCTTCCCAAAATTTTGCGGCCCAAAATCCCGAAATTTTAGTAAGGGGGACATGGCAGCCACGACCCCGAAATAATCACATCGGTACTTTGAATTTTTGAAATTTTCTGAAAATTATTTAGATTGTTTATAAATAAAAAGAAGTTGTTTGCACATTTTAACTCATGTAAGCAACCTTCAAAAATTTCGCGACCATTCTTGGGGAGCGACTCCCCCCCTTCCTCCCTCTCTTCCGCTCGGGATGCCACGGCATCCTATTTATACCCTCAGCAAGGTTATGGAAAATTACTTGAAAGCAGGAAACAAGAATATTTGAATTCCATGAAATTCGACGCAGTGCGAGGAGCTTGCGGGTCTTAAACTTTCCTGCTACTTTCCTTTCTAAGGAAAGTTATGCATGTCACAGTGCAGAGGCCTGTACGAATTTGGTAGATAGTTTCGGGACATACATACAAACGAAGCAGCAAATTACTTGCTTCTAGCTTTTATTCGATGCCATTTTTAGGGTTCACTGAACGAAGAGGCAGACAGAGAGGCGCTAGTGAAGAGTCTCGGAGACAAAAATGTAAGTATTTAGAAACTAAGCATGTTGGTTTGCATGAGTGTTGATGTACTGTTTGTGTGATGCGTGGCTGCAGTGAAAGAATGGCAGAACGCGAATTTAGCGCTTCAGGTTATGTTATTACGGAATCATGGATTCGTAGTATGCGGACAGACGGTCGAGGACGCTCTTCAACTTGCTTTTCACACAGTTGTTGCCTGTGAAACGCAGGCATGCTTTCTTTCTATTGTTCATTCTGCAGATATGTTACCGATGTGTCGGCTAGCAGTGTTTCAAGAACTAATTCACTATCGTTTATTTCTAGCGCATTTTTAACTCTCGGAAAGCCCATCGAACAAATCCTTTTTGAAATGCCACTTTGGAGGTGGGATAGGTACAAACTTATGGTTTCCTCACTTTTATCTTTTTCTGCATTATAAGTTGAAGGAACCAGAAATTTTCTTTTTAAATCTCCAGTATGTAGCAAACGAAAAGCTGACTTTTCAGTAAAGCGCGCTATCCTAAAAGCATGATTCTTCCGAAGAAATAATTCAGGTGTGAGCTGCGCTAGCTTTGAATCACTCACTCGTGTGACTTATTGCTAACTAAACTAAGAAGCTTTCGCCCTTAAGCCTACTTGGTTTTATAGCTTGATTACGTAAGAACTCTTCGGATTAGGTCGAGATACCCGTAATCAGTTGGAATGTTGACTTATTTATTGTGAATCTTGGCAGCGTTTAAACCCAGAAAAAGTGGGGTAGCAAGAGGGTAGAAAGTCCTAAAATCCCATCGCTATCCTAGAGCATGATTTTTCCGAAGAAAGTATTGAGGTGTGAACTGCGTTAGCGAATCACTCACTCGTGTGACCATAATGCTTACTAAAGTGGGAAGTTGTCGCTCTTGAGCCTACTTGGTTTTATAGTTCGATCACATAAGAACTCTTCGGATTAGGTCGAGGTACCCGTAATCAGTTGGAATGTTTTAAACTCCCAAAAGTGGGGTAGCAAGAGGGTAGAAAGTGGGGTGAAGTCAATAGGGTAATTTTTCTGTCACATTTCGTAACACACATGTGCAACCTAACCAGTTTACGCTTACTTCCATGATCCCTAGCTTCAGGAAAGAATTTCGTAAATACAAGCCAGTAATTCAAGACTTTGTGATTACTCTGCTATGTGGCTGTAGACGCTGGCAAAGACCAACAACGAGGACGACGGAGGAAGCTTAGGCTATTCGTATCTGGGTGTATTCCTACCAAGGTGCTGTTGCCTTTGCCTCATTGTGTAAGGTTGATCCAGAAGTTTTGCTTATCAGACCCTCTAATTGTTTGTTTCTCACTTCAAGAAAGCTTCAGCAAGTTCCCTACCAGGGCTGCTTTCTTTGTTCAAATCAAATGTTTCGAGGAAACTGAATATAGAGAAGGTACTATAGAACCCAAGACTTTTGTATCAACCCAGAAACTGCATGGCCTTTACCTCTGTTCAGTTGAAGCACAGAATGCACCCCAATAGCTATTACCATGTCGCTTACAACTGATGTTTTAGTCCGTTTATTTCTAAGTTTACGGCTGAAATTGAATGGGTTCAGATATTGATCTGGCGTGGTGATGGATGCATCGTCGTCGGTGAGACGCTTGAAGAAGCAGTGTTTCTTATGCGGAGCTTAGTTTCTGCGTGCGACCATCAGGTTCCAGTCATGAGTTTTTCTACGAACTAAAAAGTTCACTATTTTCCCAATGTGAACGATGTAAAAAGTTTGTCAAAGTGAGTGGTTAAGACCAGTTTCCCGTATTGCGCTTCGTGAGAGAAGAAATCCACAAAAAGAGTGTCAGTCGATAGAGCTCGAATTCACTTCTACCGTAGATGTCACCATTCGTAGTGCAGTGGATTCAACGCATAACAGGTTACATCCGAGGAGGTATGGGGAACACACATTTGGTCGCCTCCACAGAGAATTGTTTCTTTACTCCTTCAAGGTCGACCCTTGTGCCAAATTCGTGATGCCGCAAAAATTTGCAATAGAGTGCATAACTGCAAGCTTTGCATCCTATGGTCACTCCTTACGCGCAAGTAGTGTAGGAGGCCGCGGGACACATTAACCGTCAGATCCACTACTATAGGCTGTATCATCTACGATTCGATCGTGGGAATCATAGTCGTAACGAAAAATTTTCATTGAATGTACGAATACCGAAATAATTGATTTTTAAAAAATTTTTGGACGAATGAATGCCGGATGATGGATTTTCGAAATCTTTCAAGTTCCGATTTTCGTATTATTCGAATTCGAATAATCGAATTGAGTACATTCCAAAATTAGAGCTTTCGAATATTCGAATAATCGAACATCGAATATTCGGCTATTCGAATGATCGATTGACTAGATACCATGAAGATTCGAACATTCGGTTAAACGAGCGCAATTCGAATATTCGAGTGCAATATTCGAATATTCGAGTGCAATATTCGAATATTCGAATAACTTTTGAAATTCCTCGAACATTCGAGTATTTGAATAACTTATTTTTCCAAGTCGTCGAGAACGAAGAAAGAAAAAAACTTCTTTCATGTATTCGACTATTTGGATAATCGAGATGGACTTTCTCGATTATCCGACTATTCGAATAAACGGATATTCCGAGTAAGTTATTCCGAATATTCGATTTCAACTAAAGTGGGAACCCACGGGATGAGGCTTCGCGCGGCGCAGGCAACCAAAATGATACCCGAGTGCGAAAGTGCCTGGTGTTCAAATGTGCGCCCAGACACTCTTGCTTACTATAAGTTGTTTCTTGACTTTACGGAGACTTCCCTTTACGTATCTCGCAAACATTCATTTTTGGTTTGCAATGCAAGCGGAACTAGATAAACTGTTTTTTGAATTTCGACAATATAATCAGCAGCGGCACTTCTTAATCTCCTTGCTTCCCAAGCTGCTAACAGATCAGACATTGGAATTGTGAGCTGCGGTTGAAAGTCGACTCTATCATATCTAAGTCTATTAAATTTCACGCAGCATTTGACAATCTCCCGACATGATATCCTAGAGACAAGAGTTTATTGCCGATGTGACAGAGTGAAGTAGTAATGAATAATAATAAATAACAACACCTGTGCGAAGCCCGACTCTCTTGATTCTAAAGTGGGTGATAGTATTTCATTGAACAGAAGAAAGCTTAAAGGCAGCGTTCCGCCCAAGTGTAGGTGCCGGGTTTCTGTAACGATGTTAAAGTAGACCTTCCTATGTAGGCGATGACTGAAGTTTGGTGCGAAAAAGGGGGTCTACCAAGTTTGTAATTTGCCCCGAAAGCCTGGATCTTACGGTAGGCTCGGGCGAGTACGAGGTGCATGCAAGGTCTAGACGCAGAGTCGTTGCGGGACTCTGCGCTCATGACAGTGTGCGCTATGCGTGCCCTGCCTTGCAGTTCGAAATTGCTGTGTGGGCGGCGTCCAGGCCTACCGTAAGATTCGGGCCACTTTCTGAGCAAATTTCAGGCTTGGTAGACCTCCTTTTTCGCTCCGAACTTCAGTCATCGCTTAGGTAGGGGATCTGTTTTACCATCGCCACAAAAATCCTGCACCCATCTTTTTGCCGGGACGCTGCCTTTAACTTTACCTCTGCTCGAATAGGCTCCATGCATAGTCTCCATGTAAGGTGTGTTCTCTTGGGACAGGCGAGAACGAAAAGAAAGTTTAGAGAGGAAAAGAGGAAAAGAGGCATGTACACGATGGAGTGCGATCATAAGTTTGAGCACAGTGCCAGCTTCCGCGCTCGAGTCTCATTTTCGTTGCATGCGACGCGCGTGGCAGCCTTATCCTGGATTTCTGCGACTGATCGTGGGTGATACAGCCTATATACATTCTTATTATGTTTGAGCAAACCGATTGGACGAATCACAAACTAACCTTTGTCACAATGATAGTATCGCCAGCTCGTACGGCACAGTTCCTGCCTCGCTTGGACCTGTGCCGCGTCAACGCATCCTCTGGGCTTTTCCCCACGAGCGGTGTGAGAAAAAGTAGTCTTTGTGGTACTCTTATACAATCATCATTACCAGTTTTTGAATGCAAGTAGTCGACCTCCGAGTGAATGGGCAAATGAAGTGCACCTCAAGATACTCCATGCCACTTTTTGAAGAACATTCCAATTATTCGTCAGGAAAAGAAATCAGTAGTGCTTTTCTATCGTATTGAGTTGATCATGGATTTCATGTGGAAGTTACATACAACACTGCCGATAAGCCGGTCGGATGTGGACCAGAACCTAACTCTATACGCCGAATCCAAAAATCCACTTCAGAGAGCGCGAAAACGGCGAAAACGGGCTTCTTCCAAAGCGTTGAACTTTGAATTCAAACGAGTGGTACTGTTCACGCAAAAGCTGAGAGCAGAGTATGGAATCCTATGACTTAACTGTGGCTATGCGCGCTCTAGTGTGCAATTTGAAATCAGTAGGCGGGCGAGGCTTTATCTTTGAGACATAAATCTTCCGACTTCCCAAACGGATTTCTTGCCTTTGATCCAATGTTATGACTTTGTATTTGTGCGAGGATGTTAAATAGTGATTGAAGAAACGAGCAGATGGGGTTGAGCCTGCTGCTGGACTATAAAAATTCAAAAAGTTTGAATTCAAAAGTTCAAAAATCCAAAAAGCTCAGAATATTCTCAAAGGAACTTATGTATAAAAGATGCTAAATATATTGGCTGACCTAAAAATCGTGCTTACGAAGCATTACTGAAGTCACACACAGTCGACAAAAACGCTTATCTTAACCAACAATGATCGATAATTTTTAAATCTTTTTGTACTGCTTTTCACGCGCCCATAAACTTTGTTGATGGCCTGCTACATTTGTGCAAAATCTGGTCTTGTTTTCTAATCTGTGAATTTTCTGTTATTTTATGCATGGCCATAAAAAATGAAAAAGGGGTCATATCTGGGTTGCATATAAATTTCAGCGCTATGGAAGTCTGTTTGCTGCTATTCTGCTATGTCACGAGACCATCCTCCTGCTATCTATCCTGAGAATTTCGGGCTGTTTCGTTGCGTCTTCAATGAGTTACAAATTTTTGAGCTCAAAAATCCCAGTTTCTGGATTTTAGGATTGCATCTAAATTTGCTAAACTTGCATCTATTTTTTTCGAGTTCACTGCAACTTTTATTTTCAAATGTGGGGCACTCTACTACATGACCTGTCCATTGCAACCTCTCAGCCTTTCCCTGACTTTAGTTAC